TCTTCCACCCATTTCTCCATGCAACCATCTTTGGAAAGAATGTATAGCATTGCTTCATCCCACAGAGATTAAATACATTCTCTGCTTTTGGAAGGAAAAAAGCAATCAGATAACATTGTGAGGCATCACGTCTCAATGGCAGAAGGCAAGAAGTAGAAACCATCAGCAGCCCCTCTGTGCTCTGCTGAAATAATGCTAAAAGGATTTAGGTAGTTTGTTACCACCTGTGTTGAGATATAGCCAGAGATCTCATATTGGGATATGCAGTTTGAGCCTTTGAAAGGTGCTGTCAGATCCTTACTTAACAAAGGAGTGAGGCAGACCTCTGTTTTATGGTGGTGTGTGTCTTGTGTAATGATCCAGGGTGGGAGTATTTGGTATGTACTGGTTGCCAGGCCTCTGCTCAACTAATAATGAGCCACGTTTTCTGTAGCACCTCTGTGTGCCAGCCAAGTACTCACCTCTTGTCCCTTTTACTTTGAAGGACGTGAGGGAGCCAGGACAGAATTAGCTGCTTTTGCAGAAGTCCCAGGCAGATAGAGAGTGATTCACAATTCTCATATTCTTGAGCAAAGTGAAAGGACCACGTAAGGTTTATTTTAAACGATCTTTGTACTGTGTATGCATGGCAAATTGTCACAGCAGCTTCTGGGCTGTCAAGCTTGTATTTGTCTTTTTGTAGCCTCTTTATGATCTTGAAAGCAGAACATACCCAGAACACGTGTTCTGGCCAACACATCTCCATTGTGGGGACTTGGACGTTCTAGTGCACATGAACCAGATCTGCATGGAAGGTGTCAGGAGATGGCACATTCCCATCTCTTTTCATCTGAAGCAGAATAAAGCTAGCTAATTACAGGCAAAGCTGTTCTAAACAGAAGTTGATAGTCCAGGTCTTGTTACCTTGAGAGGGATGGAAAATATTCTTGGTCTTTTTAATAACCTTTCTGTTGTTTGTGATTGAGTATGATCCAATTGCTCTAATGGAGGAGAATATTATGCACTGCATGAGTCAGCAACACTTTCTTCCTGGAACAGCTGACAGCAAAGAAAGTTCCCAAAGTCTCTGCAGAAATATTCCTTCCCCCAGAGAAGGATCTGGACTGCATCCCCAATACCTGCTGGTGCTTCCCCTTGAGATGAACCTGTACATTTCTGACTGGAATATGGAACCATGCAAGGTTCATTTGAGGTCAGAACACAACTCAAAGTGCAGCAAAAGCACTTGGGAGCCTGATGCAGAAGAGAGGGAAGCCAGTCCCGAAAGTTCAGAGTGCCAGTGCATGTTCCAGCGGTCCGGAGCTTTGAAACGAGGCCCTTGACAGGGGTTAACCCCCAAACCTCCTGTACATTGCTCTGTTGTAGTGTTTGTTTTATGTTGAGAACAACCACCCGATACAATGTTCCAGCAAGTGAAGGACTGGCCTGTGAACGGTCTCCCTGTACAAATCCATACTTCTACTGGGAATTTTTGCCAAGCAAAGCTACAATCTGATAAGCAATCTGAAGTATTGGATTGACTTATTGTTTCTGTTGTGGCTCTTTTGTATTTGCTGCCACTGGATAAAGTTTCTGGCAACTACCAAGTGATTAGCTATGGTGGGATCCAACATTTTCCTATGAAATGAGCATTTCTGCCAAAGGTGCCAGCCCAAAGCATGACACTTTTGCTTTTTAAAGAATCCAGACATTCTAAACTACCTAAATCACTCCCTGTTCAATGCCAAGTCACCCAGTCTCCCCCCTGGCTCTGTGCTCTGGTCAATCAATGTGCCAGACGCTTGTTTCCCATGAGCTGAGACTTTGTTCTGTGCCAAACTTCATCCACTGAGGTCTCTCCTCTCCACCTTGGACCTGAGGGGAGAGGAAGGGATGTGGGCACATAGGCAAGAATCGCATTACACAAAGTTCTTACTGATTTTTAGAAAGTTTACAACAGAGCCCCAGACCTTAAAAGAACAGTGTGATTGCCACAAAGAACAGTGTGGGAAAACCAGTATACATGCATGTGCAGCCCTCCCACATGCACACTGACTACCCCAGATATAGGCATACCCACAGATCAGCACCTACACACAAATGTTTTTGACACACTTATTCTCAGCATCCTGTTCTCTTACAGCAGCCTCAGTTGGAGGAAGGGAGAAAAGATGTTCCTTCTAACCTAATCTTCTAATGACCTTTCTGCCAGCTCCACTTTCCTGCCTGTCTCAATGCTGCCTATGGTGATGATGGGAGCAAGATCTCAACACAGAGAGTGATTTTCCTCCTCAGAGGTCTGCAGGGTCTGTATGCTACATTGTGATGTGCTTCTCAGTTGCTCTTGAGAGGTTCAAGGTAAATAAGGAGATAAGAAAATTGATTATAATTGTGTCTGTAGGGCCCCTTGCAGCTCTGCCAAAGTTTTTGCTGAGTTGAAGGACTGTGTACTGCAAGCCTGGTGCAAGTGTGCTCCTATCACCTCTTCCTTTCCTGGACTGCAAATTCTCTGCCAAGTTTGGCAGCAGATTTCAGTCCTCTCGCTTTGCCCTGCATGTTTCCTACAGCTGCCTGCAACTGCAGGGCAGAAAAGCAAGAGCAGGCAAACATGGCACGGTGCCATGGTGGCTGGCTATGAATGCTACAGCACAAGCTAATATTTAGAGTGTCACTATCTCAACTTTTATTGAGAGGCTTTTAGAGCTCTGTAAGGTACGCTCAACAGCCATCTTCAAAAGCTGTCCCATGGCAATCTGGGAGCTGTGATGGATTATCCTGGCAGGAGATGCCTGACTCCCTTGCTCCCCTCCCTGGCTCTGGGAGGATGCATGAAATGGGCACTTCTTAATAGCAGGCCATTCCTGGCCTCTGTGCTTCCAGTCAAGGGGTGATTCATTAGCAACAGGGCAGTGATTCTCTCTCCTCTCTGCTCTGGAATTGGAGTAGGTTGTCTCGGGAAGGAGCCTGGGCGCCTTGCTCAGTGTGGCAGCTTCTGCTCAAGGGAGACAAGGCACTTTGTCAACAAACAGGGAGCCTGGGGAATGGCTCCAGCTGACAGAGGACATTATTAATGACCAGCACTTTTGGTAGATCATCCTCCCATTAGCTGCTTTAAGAGAGGAAAGAGAAATAGAGCTAAAGAGCCTTGAGAGGAGATGGGAGATTCAGCATCCTCCTGCAAAGTGCCCTGCTGCAAGGCCCAGGGGTGGCACAGCCCCCAGGGGGTGACTCTATATTTCCATAGTGTCAGGGTCTTCAAACTGTGACAGCAGCAGATAGGCCCAGTTTAGGAACAGTTTCACTTCCCAGCCCATCACAGATGAACTTTGCTGTGGAGATCTTCCAGACCAGATCTTCACTATCCCCTCTGTCCCTCTCAGTCCTGGGTACAAATGGTATCTTCCAGTATCTACTACTGTAGCTTCTTGCTTTGGCAGACGCGTTGGCCTTTGTGCTGCTCCTTCCCAGCCCATGCAGTGAAGAAGACATTGAGGGGATCTGAGAGGAGGGTGTTCCACTGCCTTCACTTTTGGGAAGTGATTAGTATAAGGAAGAGCAAGAAAACACCCTCCCATTTGGTCATGTACTTCTGGCTGCAACTGGAGAAGCTGTTGGCTCTTCTTATGCTTGGAAGCCTAAACTCATCTCCTCAGGTACAAGAAGACACTAAGCTCTAAAGCAACTGTTGATTCACCTTGCAATCATACTTAATTTGCCACAGCACCATTAGGGTGGACGCAGAGAAATCCCTGCTTTGTTCTGACGCTGCTTGTTCATCCTTCTTTGTCCTACAACCCTAAAGCTGCCAGAAGAGTGAGTCCTTGGCTCCTGCACGAAAAAAAAACCCATGTGGTGCAAATACTCAGCCCATGGGTTATGTCTTTGAAAAGCTTTTTGTCTGGAACCACCCTCATGAGGAAGGTTGTGAAATCTTTCAGCTGAACACCTGAGTGTCCAACTAGCCTCCTGCACAGCGTGTAGGATCTGTGTCATCTTGGTCTTCACAGTTCTTGAAGGAGATAGCTCATCATGCCATGGTTTCTTATCACTGTGGAGGTGGAGCTGTGGTGGCTCTATAGCTAAGGGTGTGTTCACTATCCTGTTCAGATCCTATTGGGTATGATGGTGAATTTCTAAGGCAATTTAAATCTCTTTTCAAACTGAATGCTCTTCAGTGTGAGATCAGAGGATCACGTACTGGGTACTCATCCCTTTTCTGTCATAGGTTATTCTGTTACTACAACAGTCCTAAAGTCCAGAGTTCAGAGCTGGCTCTAGGTTTAGGAACCTCTTACGTATTCCAGGACTGGAATGCTTGGAAGTGGAATGGATGGATCTGACATCCAAATCATTTGCTTTATGTAATCTGGCCTGGGCCTGTTCAGATTAGGATTCAGGTGTGAGCCCATCTTTGGCAGACTTGAGCAGGTAAACCTCCAGTTGATTTCTACTTGCAGAAAGCTGGAAAAACTTCCATTTCAAAACTGGCTCAAGGTCTCTCCCTTGTGGTTAAAAATTACTATCCTGGGGCTAAGAGTGTTGTGGGGTCCCTGTACCGCTGCTGCAGTTTTGCTTCCACTGTGGCAGGAAAGGATAGGAAACTTCTAGGTCTGCTGGTATTTATAAGCTGAAACGGGTCCCACTCAGATAAATGGTCCATTTCTGCTCTGAAACAAGCTCTGGACTCAGCTTCAAGCCCCTAAGTGGATTGCCTTCTGGCCAGTCTAGCTCTCTGGTGATTGAAAAGCTGAGAGGAGTTAGAAGGGGGGCAAGTAGGGATGCGACAGGGGACCCAAACTAGCTGGATTCACGGAACTCATCACTGAAATAACTTCTTGCGGTGCCTCTCTGTTTAATTCTTTCTGAACCAGCCCTCTCCCATGAGTGAAACAATCTTGCCTGCAGATTGAGGAGGGTGGGAGGGATTTGAACATTAATCTGATGTAGATTATACATCCGCCTCCCTCTCCCCTTCTCACTCTCTCTCTCCCTTTCCCTCTCCCTTTCTTTCTGTCTGTTTCTCTCCCCTCCCTCTCCTTCCTGCTTCATCTCTTCAAGAAAGTGAACATAAAGTAAAAACACGGAGAGAGAGAGGCAGAGAGAGAAAAAGCTCCCTGAAGAGGGAAGCCCCAGCAGGCAGTAGCTGTTTGGATTTGCCTGGCGCTGCCTTTCTTGCTTTGCTCCCAAGGAATACCTTTAATGGGATCAATTGCCTCAGTTCCTTTATAATCAAGTCCACCGGAAAGGCAGACTCAACATATTATGGGCAACTGTGTGAAGTCTCCGCTGAGAAACCTCTCAAAAAAGGTATGTTCCCTGAATCAAAGTGCACTGTGCATTTCTAGCCCTGCTTCTTGGGAGGGGTGATGTTGTGGGCAGATGGGAATGGGAGGTGGGAGAAACACAGAGATGTGTATGAAAGGTTCAGCTCTCTTCACCAGACTTTTTTTTGTAAGTGCTGCTCATGCATGGGATGTTGGGTGCCACAGCATGCCTGTAATTAAACGTGTGTGGATGCATGCACAGGAGCAGGCTTGTGTCCTGCTCCGTGTGTGTGTGTGTAGAGCTGGGCACATGGAAGCTGGTGCTGGTAAATGTGCACAGTGTGCTGGCACGCATGGTCTGTACAGGCATCTGAATGCGTGTTTATATGTGTGAGTTTGTGCGTGTGCTTCAGTCGAGAGGTATCTTCATCAGTGCAGCCGTGTGTCATTTCTGGAGGGACAATGTACTCATGTGCACGTGAATAGTTGTGTGTCTGTACATGTTCCTGCTGGCATGTAACTATACACACACCTTGTGAGCCCACCTGAAGTGTGTGTGTGTCCTTAGCTCATTCTGTCTCTACATACACATGCTGAGGTGCATGAGTAAGTGTGCAGTGTTGGTTGTGAGTGTCTAGGGGAGGACTTTGTATCACACCCATCTCCCTGCTTTTGTGCTGCTGTGTGTGTGTGTACCTGCTGGTGGATGTCCCCAGAGAACTCTATATGTAGAAATGTATGTATTTTTATGTATTTTCATCTTGCATATCTACACATCTGGTTTGTTGGCATGTGTTAGGGTGTAGAAGCGTGGTTTCCTCAGTGAGCTGTTTATCCATGCCTCTGTGAGTGGATGCACTGGGCCCTGGCTGCGTGTTCGTGCATCATGCCACATGTCAGCACAGCCCATGTGTCTACATGCTTGGGCTCAGCTGGAGTTCATCTGCAAGCCGCCATGGGTGGTCTGTTAGGCTTCAGCCTGCAGTCTGCTTTGTGCTGAGGTTTTACAGTGTTCCCAGGACAAATTAGATTCAGGAACAATTCTGCTATTAATGACAAGGATGAAATGGGAATGACATGCCCCAGAAATACTTCTTGTTTGACAGAGGAAGGTCTTGCAGCACTGTGTACCTGTCAACCACACGGCTCATACTTAGCATTGCTGCAAATCTAATAACTCAGCAAAAAGCTATGCAATTCACTCCTCATAAATTACAAAGTTATGATAAGCATCCGAAGTATTGCAATGAGGAGCTATCTCTTTGGAGACCTGGCTGACAGTCAAATGGCACTGCCATCAGGATGCTTCACCAGGGAGACCTTGCCACCCAGGAAAGTTCCCCTGGCAGGGAGCTGTTGGGGAGAGTACCTCACTAGCAGGGATTTTCTTTTGGACAGACATTTGCCTCTTCTGTGTAGAAACACAGTTTTCTTCTTATCTCATGTGCTGTAAACAAAACCAGTAATGGCACAGATCTGCTGCGGGGGAGCTGGGCTACTCAAGGAGGGAAGGCAGTGCTGAGACCAGTCCCTAGGTCAGGGTGACCTTCACGGAGAGCTAGAAGTAGCTCAGCTTTACCCAAATGTTGCACATACAAAAAACCAACCTTGTTGCTCATAGGTCACCTCCAACGTGCAGTACAAGGAGCTGGCTGCAGCTGTGCTCAACATGATCAAGGCAATTGCAGTCTGATGTGTGGCCAGGCTGCTTAAATCAAAATGAATTCAAGAATTTATAAGTTCTGTGTCATCAGTCTTTTAGGTAGTTTATACTTTCACTCCTAAAAGCTGCTTAGAAATATGCACTTTGTTCCTAATTAGAAGGGCTAGGATGGAAGGACTAAAAAGAGAAATTTGCAAAGCTGAATTAGAGAATTTTGCAGACGTTGATGCAGCAAGCCATGAATTAAGGCCTTGGACACTCATCCTGACAGATCCTGGGGCTTTGCCGTTCTTTTGATCACAACACACATGATTATAGTGGAGACTTTGCAGGTCATTCTTAACATTGCACAGCTTCACTTGACTGTTTAATCATTCTGGTCTCTCTTCTCAGATTTTACCTTGGGCAGACTCCTTTTGCTGAAATGGTAGAGGGACTGTAGACAACACGTGTGAAAGCTGCTCTTGGGTGACAGATTGAGCTCTCAAATACCTGATTTCAACCCAAAATTTGGGAGTCACTCCCAGGTACCAGCTGGTTTGGTCTGGGACTAGCTGACACAGGGGTACCTTGCCTGTTCCAATGGCAATGCTCAGGCTTTGTCTCCATGTTTGTTTTTGGCAGCTTCACTTCCCCACTATCACAGAGGTCCCCCATGATCCCAGTGGCCACCCTGGCTGCCTTTCCCTCTGAGAGGCACTGCTTTTGGGTGAAGAGGCCCCTCTGGGCTTGTTGCTCTGCAAAGTCCCTCTGACATGCAGGCAGGAAAATGTCATGAATCTTGTTGTACTTATGCTGTGCAGAAAAGGAAAGCTTTGGCATCCAGGTCTCTGGCTTTGCCACCCACACCATCACTACAGACATCTCTAAATCAGCCCCGTCTTTTCACTCTGCATAGTTGGCTGGTCTGACACAGCCAGTCTCAGCCAGGGAGGGTAGTGGTCCTTTGCTCGAGGAAGGAACAGGGAAAGTCTGAGCTCCCCATTCCTGTCCTTGCCTTTTGCTTGCTGTGCACACTGCTGTTTTCTCTGTAACGGGCAGGCAATGTGGCTTTGCCTTGTACCCATATCACAGCTCCCTTTCTGGCTCTGCCAGGATGTAGGAGGAATGTGATGGAAGGACTTTGTGCTGGTCCTTGCAGGAGAGACCTGGAGGGGTGCTGGCAGAGGGAACATCAAATGCCATAAATCCTGCCCGCAGCAGCAGAGTGGGGCAGGGATCCCCTATGGGGTCTTGCTGAGACGTGCACCTTTTGTCTTGGTGCTGCATCAGGTTGTCTGGTCAGGATCCTCGGTGGCCCTTTGGCAACTGTTTCCTCAAACTGGCAATCCCTGTCCACACAGGAAAAGAAAGGGATGACCATTCTGTGGAACTGCTGCGTGGCTTGCTAGTAAATGCTATTGACTGGAAGGGTCAGCAAACAGGGATTAGGGGCTGTGGGGCCTTTGATCTTGCATGTGGCTTCAGTGGAATTAAACACAGAACTGATGTGGGTTATTTTAAGCAGTTCATATTATTTGGTATATTAAACTGGAAAACGTGCCAAGGAATAAAGCTGCTAATTTTGAAATTACATTGCACTGATACCATGAAGCTGTGCAGTTCAACACAGATGCCTTGGCATTTAGCTGAGCTAGTAATATGCCATTTGTGGATGGTTGCTCATCTTTCAGGTTTTTAAGGACAAGTGCCCCATGTGTCACATTTAATCAGATGTATTTCTTCCTCATCCATGACTGCAATGGGAATTATTTTCTGCTTTATCATTTTCTTTCTCCATGGCTTGCTTTTTGAGTTGTTTTTTGTTTTGATGCTTGATATTCATATGACGTTATACCTGAGCAGATTAGTGTAAGACTGTGTACAAAAATATGAACTACAAACCAAGTGTGTGATATAATAGCACATGGCAGACACAGCAAGTAGATACAATAGACTTGGATAAGCGTGAATGGGGAGTGCATGTATTTGTGGTCTTTTAGCCTGGAAAAGCACCTCGGGCTTTAAGGAAAGGGTTAACAGAGACAATGACAATTGACAGACTTCTCTGATCACCCCTGGGAGCACTGTCTGTAAAAGTAGAGGAATCTGATGCATGATTAATGTTTATTCTATAAAATTAAGGGTCCTGTGGGTTGTGCTGGCTTTTTATAGCTGCATGGGAATATCAGGATAAGAGTTTTCTTGCAGAGCCAGGGAAATGCACTTCTATAAAAGGAAAGCAGTGCCTCTTTATAAAATCCAGTGCTGGATTCTGTTCTGGAGCCCTAGCTTAGCAGGACATGTACACTTAGGAAAATGTGTGAATGCAAATGGACAAAAATGATCTGTGCTTTGGGACTGTCAGTGATTAGAAGAGGCCAGTGCAATAACTGCCTGAGACCCTGAGGATGTAACTAATTAGAAGTAGCATGGGGAGTGTGAGCCTGCAGTTGGCAGAGCCATCCGATGCTGTAAGTGGCCTTCTAATAATAATATAAAGCATGTGCTGCTGTGTTGCTGTAACATAATGCAGAGCTGAACCTAAGGGAGGGGTTTTGTGCAGGCTCTGCCTGGCATCCTGGGGATGCCCTGGCTGCAGGGCCCTGCCAGCAGCTGGGCACTGGCCACAGGCTGGCACAGGTACTGCTGGGGCGGGACCTGCTCCTCCTTTGCAGCTTACTCAAGGGATTCTTTAACTCTGGGGCTGATAGTAGGAGCCCCCTGGGCTGTGTCTGGGGAGATGTGAGCAGTGCTGAGGGTTTGATGTCATTTCAAAGCAAAATTCTCCTGCTTGGTTGTACTTCTGTCAGCCTTTGAAAGCGAACTCCTGGACTTAGTGCTTCTGTACAAATCCTAATAGGCCAGTGGGGGGGACGCAGCATGGACCAGATGAAGGAAATTTAGCAGTAAAGTCTCTGCGAGGCGGTTCAGTAAATCTTCAGAGGAACGGCTGGGCAAGATGGGGAGGTAACATCCTCTGTTGTGTTGTTTGCTTGCTGCTCGTTGGCTGGGAAGATCCGCCATGAGGAGAAGACGTGCTATAAGGCTGTCCAGACCAGCGAAGAGGGGCCGTCGGCCTGCGAGTACCAGGGTCCTCTCATGGTGCTGGCCCAGAACTGCGCCGTCATGCACAACCTGCTGGGGCCAGCATGCATCTTCCTGAGGAAGGGCTTCGCAGAAAACAGGCAGCCTGTACGTAAGTTACACCCAGCTGGGTGAGACACGCACAAAGCCACGTGGATGTGAGCCAGGAATGCAGAGCTGCCCGTGTGCTCCGTCTGCATGGAGCTCTGTAAGCACCAGCCCTGGGTCTGGAGCATCCCAACTCCAGCTCCAAGTGCAAATACAATCATAGGGAAATGTCTGATCCAAAGGATGTGCAGAGATATCCCCATGCCTAACCACTGGGAAAGGAGAAGTCTAAAAAAGCAGCTATGGAAGGTAGATCCAAGCCTACACTCAAGTAGGCATAATCAGATGGACTCAAGAGCAGGACTTAGGACTTCAGGACTGATATAATTATGTGGACTCAGGAGGAGTCCAGTGATCTAAGATGTTATTCCAGCAAGACATCTGCATCTCATTCCCAGAGGCTCTGATTAGCTTTTAAGGCCTAAATAGTCACTTAAATGCAATTCAGGGCATCCATATTGGGAGCAAGCTGTCCCCCAGAGATGCCCATATTTGATACTGTTCATGTCAGCTCACAGTGAGCACATTAGTACCAGCAGAAATAAACACACATCTGCCTCCTCAGATACCCAAACACAGTCTCTTATGCACTGTTGTACACAGCCTGACACTGCAGCAATCCCAGCCGGATAAACCAGAGCACATCAGTCTGTCCTCATATTTGCAAATAGTGTCAGGCTACCAAATGCCCATACACACACACAGATAAATAGCAAAAGCATCTCTCCATTCAGTCACACCTATTTGTGCCTGTGTGTTCATATGCATCTAATGTATGCATTTATATTCAAACAATGAAAATTTATATGTAAATTCAAAAATATACACCTGGACATGTTAAATATACATAAGTACACACCCCAGGATTGTATCTTTATAAGAAGTAAAACACGTTTTTGCACATAAACATTTCGTTCCTACAATAACATTAATTTAAAGTTATGCATAAAAATGTGATTAACAGGTATTTAATAGATATGTATGAGTGAATATGAACATTGTCAGATATTTACCCAGTGTGTTCCATATTCTTCTGGTGAAATAAAACTCATCCGAATTCCCTGAGTCAGAGCTTTCTTGCCTTCCCTAAGAAATCTCTGTCTTGTGCACTGATGTTGTTATTTATAGCTGTAGGAAACACTTAAACCTTTATTTCTGAAGCCTCTTCTTCAACCAACAACCCATGAAAGAGTCATTATTTGTCATTATTGATTAAAAGGCTTTTATTCTTTCTAACCTTCATCCACTAAGTGACCACATATTCCTTGTACCAGTTCACTAAAACACAAAACAACACTCTTACACAAGCACACTTTGGCATGCACAAAGAGACCTGTCATAGGAGATAGGTCCATCTCCCTAATGAGAGGCTCACAGCTGGACAGGTGTCCAACCTGCTGAGGCCCTGGGAAATCACAGTACCCTCAGAAGTCCCCAAAATAGGATTAGTGAGGTCTCTAACTACCCTGATGTAGAGTAACTGTATCTCATAAACAGCTTTACTTTTACTGACTCTGTAGACCAAAAGGATTTATTGCACATAGAACAGATAGAATGAAAGTAAGACCATTACATATAATGGACTCTTCTGAGGGTCACCTCTGCTCATATCTAGGATGTAAAGTCTCTGAACAGTTTTATTCCTCTTTCCATATGTTCTCCAAAAGCTCTAGAGTGATTCAGCACATTTTTTTCCCAAGCAATTTTCCTCCTTTATCATTTTAGGAGATCTTCTTTCAAATTTAAAACAGAAAACCTCTTCATGACGTTAGTTATGACTTGAGTCAGATTTTTGGAGGGACGTAAACCCTCCTCCTCCTTTTGCATTCACAGTCTGTGGCTCCCTGATGGTAGAATCTGCATGTGCAAAGATACGAGCCCTGCAAACACAAATGCCTTGGCATGCAAAATTGGTGCTGAAGCCCCCGTTTCTGACATGTGTCTGTCATGTCAGTTGCAATGGAGTCTTCAGGGAGTGAGGAGGAGGAGGGTCTCGTGGCGATGTGCTGGAGGAAGGCCTGGGTCCTACCCCAACCCCTCTGACAAGACAGCAGTTACCAGGGGTGAATCACCGTGCCCTTCGCTCAGTGCGGTGCTGATCCCCGTCCGGCTGCCAGCGCTACCCGGGGGTTAATGGTTGTGAGCTCTGGAAGGATGTGCACAAGGGGTGGTTTCCATCTGCTACTTTATCTAAGGCAGGAGGGAATTACTGCCTCCTGCATCCGGTCTAAGAAGTTTGAATTGTTTTATTACTTGGTGTTGATGAAAGCAGAACAAATGGGATGACATGTTTGAAAATACCAGGTCTGTGAAGGATGAAACGGCAGAGCCAGTGTGCTCCAACAGCTCCATCCAGCACAGAGATGCCTCTGGGAAGGTTATGAGTGGCAAGCTGGTCATTTCTCTGGCACAGCCCACTTTTACACAGACGTAAACCAGTGTGTGTCCTAGTTTGTTATGCACTCTGAGCAGCCACCATTAGTTTTCAGAGGAGCCTGTGGTTAAATAGCAAAGGATCATCCTTCCCAAACTGATCAAGGGCACTGTCTGCAGGGATGTGTGGTGGGGCTGGAGGACACCTGGAAGGCAAGAACCTCCCCATGGTTCAGGCAAAAAGCCAAGAGTGAGACAGCAAAAGAGATCGCATTTCTGTTTCCAAATTTTCAGATGTTTTGGATTTGCCTGGGAGCCATGAGAGGAATTAGAAAGGGCATTTAAACCAGGAAGCAGTGCATTTCCATGCTCATCTTTCCTTCTTGGTGCAGTGCTGGAGTTTTCCTATACTCTTTTATACCCTCCCCTTCTTCCAAGAAATTCATATTGGATGTTTGAAGTTGCAGTCTTTCCTGAACATGGTGAATCCTTGTCCTGTTTTGTCTGTACATTACCTTGATGATGTCTGTGTTTTGTGTCTGCCCTCATGCCTGCTTTCAAAATGCTTGTAGAAGGAGTTGAGGATGGGGGAATGGGGGAAGTTCCTACTCTTTTGTAGGGACCATTTGGGGAAGAACAACACCATGTCCCAGTACAGGTTGGGGGCTGAACTGCTGGAGAGTAGTGTAGGTGAAAGAGACCTGGGGGTCCTGGTAGACAGGAGGATGACCATGAGCCAGCAATGTGCCCTTGTGGCCAAGAAGGCCAATGGCATCCTGGGGTGCATTAGAAAGGGTGTGGTTAGTAGGTCAAGAGAGGTTCTCCTCCCCCTCTATTCTGCATTGGTGAGGCCACATCTGGAGTATTGTGTCCAGTTCTGGGCCCCTCAGTTCAAGAAGGACAGGGAACTGCTCGAAAGAGTCCAGCGCAGAGCTACGAAGATGATTAAGGGAGTGGAACATCTCCCTGATGAGGAAAGGCTGAGGGAGCTGGGTCTCTTTAGCTTGGAGAAAAGGAGACTGAGGGGTGACCTCATCAATGTTTACAAATATGTAAGGGGTGAGTGTCAGGGGGACGGAGTTAGGCTTTTCTCGGTGATGACCAGTGATAGGACAAGGGGTAATGGGTGTAAATTGGAGCATAGGAAGTTCAAGGTGAATATCTGAAAAAATTTTTTTACTGTGAGAGTGACAGAGCACTGGAACAGACTGCCCAGGGAGGTTGTGGAGTCTCCCTCACTGGAGACATTCAAAACCCACCTGGATGAGTTTCTGTGTGATGTACTCTAGGTGACCCTGCTCTGGCAGGGGGGTTGGACTAGATGATCTCTCGAGGTCCCTTCCAGCCCCTAAGATTCTATGATTCTATGACCAACTGTAGGAGATGGCACTGGGATGTTGGCTGTGAGAGAGCTCGTGGCTGTGTCTGTCCTGCCAGAAGGCAAGGATCAAGCAGTGATCCAAGCTGACAATAGCACAGACCTGCTGGTTACAGGGACTGCTTCCAGCTGTTTTGATCTGGCTGTGTCAGCAGGAGCTGCAGCAGGAAATACAATCAGAGCTTTACAGGAGATCACAACTGCTGCAGTGCCAGTCTCCGCTCCAGGACTTGGTGCTGGAGAATGATGTTGGAGTTTCATGAAGGTCATAGTATAATCAGGTGGGGAGGCCACACATATGGCTGTGCTGGCCCAGATCTCTTCTGTTTTGGAGGAGCACCTGTCACCCCCTGCCCAGCAGATGAGATGGAGAAGAGCTTCCACAGGGAAGTGTGCAGGCTGCCACCCACCCCTCTTGGGGAGAAGAGCTGGGAAGCCTTGCTAGCTAGATGGTATTAAACATGTCATCACCTTCTTGTTTCTTCTCTCACCTTCTGACTTGTCCCAGAACTGTTTGCACCAACAAGTGCTATTCTGAACCTATGTTTGTGTGAAGCTTTAACATAGTATGTTCTTTTTGCAGGATAGAGAGCTGCGTCCGGAAGAAATTGAAGGTAAAACTTGTTGCTCCTTCTGTGTCACCTTTCTCCCTGCCCAATGAAAACCTCCTGGCTGGCCCTTCCAGTTTGATCTCCATGGGGTAAAATAACTTGGGGCAAATCAAGGGAGACAATTACTGGAATAACTGCTGGCAACCCCAGCAAAAAAGAAATACATAAAACTGCAAGAGTACTGATAGTGAAGGAATTTGCATCCAGTCCAGGTTCTTCAGGGTGGGAGGATAAGTAAAGCAATGGGATGTTAGCTGTCAGGGAACTGCTGTCCACCTCAGCTCCCACAGAAAGTGTCACAGAGCATTGAGCTCTAGGGAAGGTGTTCTATGTGCTAATCCCTACAACGAGTGCTATATCCTATAGTGCAGGGGTAAAAGCTGGGAAAACTTACCTGCTTCCAGTTTCTTTAGGGAGTGTGGTTTAAAAACAATCAGTCCCTGGCACTTGTAGTACAAGAAAGCTTTCCTGTAAGGAAAAGGTCAGCAGTGCTGCTTAAGAGCTTGATGTTGCTCCAGTGATTGCCTCTTTGCAGGGAGATCTTCTGGGAAAATACAGAGTATCTTAGGGAGTCTGGCCTCCTAAAGGGCTGCTGATTCTGGCATGGTTTCCTGGAAAAGGTATTTCAAGCTGTCATTGACAATATTGTTCTTTTTTGGATCTACTCCCACAGAATTAAGAGAAGCCTTTAAAGAATTTGATAAAGACAAGGATGGGTTTATTAACTGCAGGGACCTGGGGAACTGCATGCGAACCATGGGCTACATGCCTACTGAGATGGAGCTAATAGAGCTCTCCCAGCAGATCAACATGAACTGTGAGTAATGTCCACCTCGCTGTGCCTCCCTGTTGCTGCTCTGCCTTGCATCACTGCCTCAGGCTCTCTTGGGCTCTCTCAGGCTCCTGCTGTCTCTTTTCCTTGGTTGCTTTTGTTGTTGTTCTCATTTTTGGTCCATATTATGTCCTTTTCATTTGTGGTCTTTAGCAGTTGATGCCTTTGTTTCTTGCTTATCAGACAAAGGGACTGTGTGCACTGTGCTGTCTGGGAACAGTGTGTGGAAGGGTTGTCCTTTGTGCTTATGCTGTTAGGTATAAAACTGCCCTTGATGTGGGCAGGTAGGTTGTGGATGTTGTCATATTGAAGCTGGTGTCAGCTCCAAGAGCAAGCCTGGGAAGGTGGAGATGCTTTGGTCAGAGTGGGTGATGGATGGGCTGTTCCCTGTGCTGTGAATGTACATAGATCTGCTGTGTGCCTGGGGTTGGGCTGTGAGCGGGCTGTGCTGGCAGTGTCAGATGGAGGCATCTGCTGGAGTCATGGAAAAATGTGACAATTCCAATTCACTGCAACTGTGTTTGTCCCCCATGTCTTTCACCATCATTTTTTGTTGCTCTCTTGTCTGTGGCACTGCAGGGTATTACTCTCAGCCAGGTCAAAAAAAGGATATTTAGTGCACATTATTTCTGACACATGATGATGTAAAAAAGGACAAGTTACTTGGTCAATGGAAAGGAAACAGTTGTGACAGATGCAACCAGTCACGCACAAAAGCAGCTGATAACCCTGGTACACAAGTGCTTAGGAATTTGAGTGTGACTGCCAGCTTTCAGATATGGAACAAACAAGAAAAAAGACTAGTACAATGAATAAACAGTTGGACATATATTAGCCACTGCTAATGGAGCAAGGCTGTCACTGCTGCAGGGCACTGCCCTGGCCATGCAGGAACATCATGCTGTGCCCTTGCTGTGCCCTTTGGCACAGCCACAGCAGAGGTTGCTCTAAGCACTAGAGTGATCAAGCTTCTAATACCTAGTACATGACTCCATAAGGATGTGACAGTCCATGGCAGCCTAGGGTGAAATAGCTTGGCATCATTCTGCCTGGCCCACAGTCCAGAAAATAGAGAGACAGTGTAAAACTACCTCTGCTTTTCCTTCCACTATCCTGCACCTTCTGTGGTTTGCTTCCTGGACATCGAAGCACTTTCTGGGGCATGCAGAAGTGCAGAGTGAGTGCTGGTCTTAGTTAACATACGGAGTTCTTACACACAGTCTTTCATCTTGTCCCAAGTGGGTGGCCATGTGGATTTTGAAGATTTTGTTGAGCTGATGGGACCAAAGCTTCTAGCAGAAACTGCAGACATGATTGGTGTCAAAGAGCTCCGTGATGCCTTCAGAGAGGTGAGTGCTCCCTACCGCGTGCCCCCCAGAAAGGTGAGCAACAGGAGACAGGAAAGAGAGAAGACCCACTGGGGAAGAGAAGAGGAGGAGGAGAGAGCAGCACAGTGGAAGACAGAGAGAAAGCCAAGAGAGGCATGAAACAAGGGAGGAGCAGAGAAAGTCACTAAGATAAGGGAACTCTTGAGCCAAGGAAGAGGAAAGCTGATGCAGAGAGAGCAGTTACAGGGGATTTCTGAGGAGAAAAGACAGACTGGATCCAAAAGGCACCCAAAGGAGTAGAAGGAGGGACACAAAACACTTGCATGAAAAATAGAGCACTCAGGAGCAGGACAATACAAAATCCAACCCAGAGCAAGATCCATTTCCATTAACTGCATTTCCCCTGCTGGTATTTTTAATGTACTTGCAGTTTGACACCAATGGTGATGGGGAGATCAGCACCAGTGAGCTGCGAGAAGCCATGAAGAAGCTTCTAGGGCAGCAGGTGGGCCATCGGGATATTGAGGAGATCATCCGGGACGTGGATCTGAATGGAGATGGGCGTGTGGATTTTGAAGGTGAGAGGGGATGAACACTCCCTGTCCATCTGCTCTGGGATGAGTCAGAGTTTCGGCTCAGAGGTGGAAGTGGAAGGGAAGATTTGCATGCTTGGGGCCCTGGTATCTGAAGTATGGAGAAAAAGGCAAACAAGACTTTTTTTTTAACCTAGTCAGCTGAGGAAAATGGAGAACATTGGCCCCCACAGGGAATTTCTCAACTGAAGTGTTCATTTGTGTATCATCTCTTGCTACATCTCATTTTCAGCTGGGTCTCCATAACTCTAGCATGGCACAAGATATGCCCTGTCACAGTGAAGCAGATTCTGGTATACACATTATTATGCCAGCATCCTTTTTATAGGACATTTTCCTTTATCTTAAATCTATTACAAGAGCTGTGAAGAGGCTAGATTGGTGTGGAGAATGCATTGCACCATCCATGTCCTCTGGCTCACCTTATTATCTGCATTTATAGAGAATCTCTTTCTCTGCCATTTTGCCAGAAGATGGTCACGAGCCAGATGTGCTCACTAGGACTGCAGATATCTGATCTAGAGGTGTCATGTTAAATCCTAGAGGATAATTCATTTCTTTTCCCACTTTTCATGCCAGAAGGACTTGTAAAAATAAGAGCGTTGAGGCTACTATCCTAGCCATTAGCTGTGACAGGAGCAATATTAATGGATCTCCTGGTTTCTGGCAAGGGATGCCGTTGATATCAGTCAGCTAAGAGGATACAAGAGCTGGAAGGTGTGAGAGCATGGCAGACTGCTTGCTTTCCTAGTGCAAATCCAAAGTAAGGGTGAATGAAACACAGGAACTGTGAAATTAAAATAAAATTTACAGAATTTTTTTTGCTCAACGGCATTCCGTGGTCTTGTGCATGACAAGGAATCTCAGTCCTCAGGGCTGCTGAAGCTTCTGAGAGCTTTGAAAATGCTAAAAATAGTGAAGTGTCTCCCTAGAAGGTATTTGGTAGCTGCAATTGTTCTAATGCACTGGCTGATTACATGACAGTAGCTCTCCTTGTTTCCCACAACTAAATTATGTTAGACAGCTAAAATACATGAAATGCTATCCCAGTATCATTTTCTCTGTGAGTTACTGCATTCATTGTCAAAGGAGAGCTCCAACAACAGGAGAGGAGAAGCCAAGGGGGTAATTTACACTGCCCTCCTCTTTGCAGAGTTATTAGTTCCCTAACAATTCAAGTGCAGAATGAAAACACGTTTATATTTGATGGCATTTACACTCAATTTAAACAATTGTAATTGACTTCACAAGCTCCAGAGTGGTGAAGAAATAGATCCAGGATATCCTGGCTCCAGAGATCCAGTTAACCTGTATCTTTATAAACAAGAAGTCCAACAAAGTAAACTCTTCTCTCCAAAATGCTGCTACCTACCAAGTCACTAGTGCTGTCCCACACTAGTGTCTCTGTGAAGTGGCAAGCTTACTAAGAAATCACACTGTGCTCAGCTGTAGTGTCTCACAAGGACTTGCTTGTGCAAACAAGACTGAACACTGGCTGGGAAGAAGTCCGAGGCAATTAATTGACCTACTAGTGGGATCATGTCACCATATCTAATGCAAGGATTAAAGCTCATTTTGCGTGAGCTCTCCAGGGCCAGTCACAGAGCAGCACAGACCTGCTGGCAGCGTGTAGACTCTCAGTATCACCTTGTCTGCATGCTATTCCCAGGGAATGAGAGCTGGGTTAGGGACCATGGATGCCTTCTGCTTCATGGATGTCTTTTCTCGTTGGTTGCAGAGTTTGTTCGCATGATGTCCCGTTGAAAACAATTCTCAGCTAAAGAAGAATCAGCACCTTAGAGAGGGCAGAAGAGGACCTAAATGGAGCATCTAGCCCCGATGTTTCCACATGAAGGTTTATCGTCTGGCTGCAATTGGGACATTCCAAGATGACCTGCTGCTCCTCCCTCATGGCGGTCCCCTTGCCCCTCCACCCTTTCACACTGTGAAAGACTTGCAACTTCCTACAACTGGAACCATTCCTTGGAAATGATTGCAGGAAACTGTAGAGCCAAGACTTGCCATGATGCTTTCATGGGATATTTGCAACTTTAGACTCCTCCTCCCCAGCTTTGTTCTCCCATCAGCTGCTGCAAAGCAAGAGCAGGAGAAACCCTCTTGCCTTGGTGGATGAGAGCAAAGCCGTTGGGACTGGTGGCAGCCTCAGGGCGTGCTCTGCACTTCTTGGTTTCCCTTGGTGAACTGTGTCCGTGTTTGCTGTCTGTGTGTGTGTGTCTATCTGTGTGGAGTTATTTATGCATCTCCTGTGGTTATGTTTACCAAGAGTAAATTCAAATACATGTCTTGCGGGGGAAAGCGATAAATATGCACGCTGAAATGATGTGGAGCCTGGATGTCCCTGTGAGAGGTGGTGGCTGGGCTGGGGGAGAAGGGCTGAGGCAGATGCACACCACGGTATCTGTACTGGGGTCCAGAGCCAAGTCCTTGCTGTGGGAAGGAGAGTCACTGCTGGCCACTAAGCCTGTGCAGGGCTTTGCCCTCCCTCCTGCTGTCCTCTTGGAAAAGGGGCCTGGAGGTGCCTCTGGGTGAGGGCAGTTTGAGGGGTCCCCAAACCTCCACATCCCCCTGCCTTGCAGGGGGGCAGGAGAGTGTCAATGAGCAATGGGAGAGAGGGCACAGAGGGGAGCTGGGTGGGAGGGGGATAGGCAGCAATAGCCAACTCCCCCTTTTTCAGACCATTTGAAACACAACTGTGAACGTATGCACAGTGGGGGCTGAGCTGTGGGAGCTGAGCTGTAATACTGTTGGTGCTGAGGATTGGCTGGGAGCCTCCTTGTGCAGCAGTGCCCTGCTCTCCAGCTTCTTCACACCCAAAATGCTGCACATCTGCAGTGGTGACAACAGCAGCCTCTGGGCACTACGAGCTGCTTCCAGACACATCAGATGCTCATCCTCCTTCCCCTTTCCCCAAGATTATCCCAACCTCCTGCTCCCTTCCTTTACTCTGCCAGACCCACAATTGTCAGGACTGGTTTCTGCTTGTTTTCATTATTGCTGTGTGTTTCTCAGAATGACTGGGAGCTGTTTTCCTCTTAGCCCCCTTACTCCAAGTCGGAGATTAGAGACCAACATCCTCCTGCTTCCTCAATCTCAAATCTTTCATTTCCCAGGTTCCATTTCAAATTCTCGGGGCCCACAGATCCATGTCCCAAAGGAGGATTTTCTCTCTGCTTTCCTGTTGCTGTGCCAACCAGCATAGCTTCAGTGATGGCTGACATCCCTGCAATGGCAAAACTCTATTTCTCCTGGTATTTGTGTGTTTGGGTACTTGTGTTTGCACAGGCGTGTACACTGGGGAAGGTTTGTGTGTGCATGCATAAAAGCAAGGAGTGCAGATAGGTACCTGGGAGTGCAGCAGCACAGGAGTTTGTTTGCAAGTAGGTTTATGTAAACTAGGTGTGTGTATCTATGGAGCTGTCTTAGTAACGTGAGTGTGAGCCAAGAAATTGGAAAAAAGGATATGTAGAGATGTCCATATTTACTGGTACATCAGCTGTATTGTGCTTAGGACATGAGGGTGATAAACTGAACAGAGTCCAGAGTCTTGGTAAGTGGTACTTAGGATAATACTGGGGAGGGGGAGACCTGTGCAGGCTTGTGTCTGCCATAGGGAGTGTTTGCACACAAATGTGCTTCAGTTCCAGTGGAGCCTGTTGAAGAAGAAGGGTATGTGTGCACAGAGCAGGGCTGCTGCCCTGCTTGCCTGTGTGCAGCAGAGTAGCCGTGCCTGCCACAGGGACCGGTGGGGACTCGGGGCACACGCCTTGTGCTGTAGCCAGCAGGCACAAGCCTGAGGGACAGTCAGTGGCAACAGGCACGGTGGCTGCCTCTGCCTGCTCCCTCCCGGGTCCTGCGCCGAGCAGCTGCATCTTTTGCCCACAGTGGCAGATGGCAGGACATGGCCTTAATTTATTTTAAATTGTAAACCCATTTCTAGAGGCTGCACTGATCCACAGCACAGCATCACAGCAGCTGGGGATGATCTCTGCAAACTACTGCCATTTTCACTTGGGTGGGGCCCTGTGTTTGTACCATGACAGAGCTGTACTTGTCTTCCCAGGAAATGCAGGGACACCGGTGCTATGGGAAGGGCAGCTGCAGGACAGCTTTGTGTCATTGCAGAGGCAGTCCTGGAGACACAGCTACTTTCAAGGAAAGCTGGGTCTCTGCCAAATGATCTGTAGCTCTTTTCTGCCAGGTCTCACCATGATACAGTGAACAGGTCAGACAGGGCAGGTCTCCAAAGCATTAATTCTTTTTTCTTCCAGCAGAAGCTCTTGCTGGTTTTAACTTGCACAACAAACCCCAAATAATCCCAGAGAGTTTTACTATTTTCTTGTGCAGACAGGGTCAGAGATTAAAGCTCCAATCTAAATCATCTAATTCCAGAGATAATCCTTTTGCCCTCATCTCCAGTCTAGTACCAGGGAGGCTTCCAAATGGCTCCACATGGCAGGGCAGAGCTGGTCATAGCCCCATATCCCCCTGTGGTTCAGAAGCTGGTCCAGGTGGTGGGGGTGGCTCACTTTGACTTCTTAGAGGTCTCATTAGCCATGAGGTCTGCGTCTGACCCACATGTCTCCATTGCTCTTTTTGGACATCCGAAATCCTGATACTCAAAACGTGTGCCCGACACCATTTGGGAATGATCAGGGCTGTAGACCAGGCAGGACTGACTCAAGACTGAGAGTCATTTTGTCACAGCTGCCAAGGGACAGGGAGAGATCAAGGGATTGAGAAGACAGCCGTGAGCCTTTCACTTGTAGGTTACTGGTGTAAATCCAGCCTGCATCAAGGGACTGATGGCTCAGTGGATTAGTAACAGGACACAGAGCCTTTGGCATCTGGAGCACAAGCTGGCATCATATTGTTGGTGACAATTAAGTGATCCAGGGGCAGCAGTGTAGGACATCATGGACACAGGCCATCACAGCTCGTCTGCCATCCTCTGCCAGCAGCTGTGGCCAGAACATGAGCCAGGGGACTGCTCCTCCTGCACACAGATGAGCACAGCCACTATCCCTCCTCACTCAATGCAGCTCAGTTAATCCCTCTTGCTTCATGATGGGCTGCTGATTCTTGGGAAATAATCATCCAGGGTACTTATTAGAAGATGTGTTGACTGGGGAGGCAGAGGAGGTACAAAAATGCTTGGTGTGTTGTCTGCTAGAAAGGTTGAGTCCTCAGACAGAGGGGAAAAAGAGGGGTTGTGCCCTTTGTTCAAGGAAGGGAACTCTTCAATGAAACCCTTTATTTAAAAATGAAGAGCTGCTGGTGTTTTTTGTGAGATGTGCAGGAGTCCCAGGAGCCCTTGACAGGAACCCCAGTCTTGGCACAGCCATGAGAGCCCCTGGTGACACTCCCACAGCAGGGGATGAGCAGGGTTAGGTCCCAGCTGCCCTTATACATCTCTGGGGCCAAAGAGGCCACTTTGGCTGAGGGACCCGTCTTGGTCATACCTAAATGTTAGCTATCAAATCCCTTCATGTCTGAATGGGATGTGCTTATGGGCACACTGCTGCCATTTTGTGTGTGTGAGACCTGTGAG